AAAATAATTGACATTTTCTACTATGTTGAACTCTTATTAAAACATGAGACCAGCTGTTTTCAAATGTAGTTCAGTTTTAAAGAAGTTGGATTGCTCTTTGATGAACCATAAGGAAATAAACATATGCGTAATTGGCAAGGCCAGAATTACAAAGAAATATATTCTGTTTATTAAGGAAGTGATGACAAGAAGAAAGGGAAGTTCTCCAATATGTCTGGAAAACAGGATCTTAGCTGAGGGAAGGGACTTACCTGATGTCCTCCAAGATTCACAAGATCAGTGTTTGTTCTCCCACAATCCACAGCCCCTCTGGGTTCCTGCCTACATTCCTAATTCGTTTTCTCTTGAAATATGCCAAAGAGTAACCACTAGGAACTTCAAAGAGCTCATGAAAAAATGGAATGAAAGATAATAGATTTTTTGCCTAATATATTTGTAGTCTACTTAAAAGTTGATCATTCTCTCCATCAATTTTAGTTTCCTCTATTTTGTTATCTGTAATGTTATTTTGTTATTTTTCTAGTGTTTGATGAATACAAAAGGATAGCACAGAAAGATATTGAACAGAGTATCAAATCCGAAGCCTCTGGCAGTTTTGAAGATGCTCTGCTGGCTATAGGTAAGCTGGCAGGCATGGGGAGTAGAGCAAGAAATGTCTAGAGACTACCTTCAGTGTTACCAGGTTTTTGTCATGGGGGTGTAGGTTTTTTCGTTTGTTTTCAGAAATAATAAATGCTGAAATTATTCTTGACGTACGTCAGAATTTTAAACAAGAAATATTCTAGATAACCTGAATGGTCTGATACTACTTGGCTTTATATATTTTATATCCTTTGTGTTTCAGTGTATGAGGATAGGCAAGGTAATCCTATAGAAGCTGTATTTTGCAAGTCTATCATTGGTTAGAACTAAGGACTGTCTCATGTGGTGGTGATGGTAAGCATCATTTTGGGAAACTCCATGCTACTCTTTGCTTGGTAGCCATTATTAGTTACTTCTCCAGGAACTTCATGATAAATGGAAGGTACTGTCCACCTATAAAAATGCCTTCAGCATAGCCTAGGATCCTGAAGCATTCGTGGGCTAGAATTTCCCCAGGAAAGTAATCGAGAAATACTACTTGATAACTTAGAGAAACAGAGGGAACAACCACCACTTTCCTTTATCTGTAACTTTTTCTTCTTCTCTCTTAACAGTAAAGTGCATGAGGAACAAATCTGCCTATTTTGCGGAAAGGCTTTATAAATCTATGAAGGTAAATGGTCTCATTTTTAGAATCAGTATAACTGTGGCATGTCTTGTGTTTATCTTCAGCTGCTTAGAAAGGACTTGTAATGTGCTCAACGTCCTCAGAAAGGAAGTAATGGAGCAGGGATTCAAACCCTGGCAGTCTAGCTCCAAAGTCCACACTCCTAACCAAGCACTGTACTCTTGCTGGGAACCATGGGGAGTAGAGGAAGTTTCAGAATGCTGTCCCTGACCTAAAAGAACTAATAGTATTATTGGGAAGACAGGTATGTGCAGAACATCAATAGTAACAAAGCAGAATATCAGACAGGAGTTAAGGATTCAAATATTATTGGGACACAGTGGAGATGACCTTTTATCCACCCACCCCAACCCCCAATATATATTTTTCTGGAGTCCTGGTGTAGTGCTGTGGGATAAAGCACTGAACTGCAAGGTCTGTTTGAACCATAAGGTCGGCGGTTCAAACTCAACAGTCGCTCCTTGGAAACCCTACATAGATGTCACTATGAGTAGGAATCAACTCAAAGGCACTTAACAACAACAACAACAATATATTGTGGAGGAGTCCTGGTGTGGCACTGTAGGATAAGTACTGGACTGTAATCCACAAGGTCAGCAGTTCAAACTCACCAGCTGCTCCTCGGTAACCACATACACAGGTTAGCTAAGAGCTGAAACTGACTTGACAGCACTTTACGACAACAATATATTTTGGGAATCCTGGTGTGATAGAATAAGCACTGGATTGCTAACTACAAGTCAGCAGTTCAAACCCGCCACTTGCTCCTCAGAAACCTTATACTGAGTCTCTAAGAGTCAGAACCGACTCAATGGCACTTAACAACAACAGTATATATTTTTAATATGGGGAGGATCAGAAATGATATATTAAGAGGTTGGTATATTTTTCAATGGAACAACCAGAATGCAATTAAAGAGAATGTTGACATGTTGTGAAAAATTTAACTAGTATCACTTGTTAAATGATATAACTTGTGTAAAAACTGTCCAATGGGAACCTAGTTTGCTGTAAAAACTTTCACCAAAAATACAATAAAAGATTATAAAAATAAAAAAAAGTTGGGATATTTAAATAAGCCCTTAAGGGGAGTTTTACATTGGAGAATCTGGGGGTGATATGGCTAGAGACAGAAGGGGAGACATCAATGGGAATCACTATGGGCAAGGCATGCTGTCTAGACTACACAGAGTGTTTCTAGAATGAACAGAGAGTAGTCTCTGCTGCCCAGCACATACAGAGTGTTGGGAATGTAAGCCATTGAAAGCCTTGAATGTCATGTTCCACAGGCCTTTGAGGTTGTGGAGCAGACAATGGACACTTTCAGGAGAATCATAAGTGGGCCTGCCTTGTTGGGTTAAAGCAAAGATCTGACAACCAGACAGACTTTGGTATGTGAGCATCTTGTTTTCTTCCATAGGGCCTGGGCACCGATGACAGCACTCTCATCAGAGTGATGGTTTCTCGAGCAGAGATTGATATGCTGGACATTCGGGCCAACTTCAAGAGGGTCTATGGAAAGTCTCTACACTCCTTCATCAAGGTAGGTCGCTGGAGCCTTGCCTTGGCCCAGGGGAAGAAGTACTGATGAAAGGCCAAAATCATCACGTAGCCATTTGGCGATTTCATGTTCTTTCCTTCCTGGCATATGTCATTCCCTTTAAAGATGATACTCTAGTTTAGATTATTTCTAGTCTCCTTTCACACAGATATTTAAATCTTTGTAAGATTAGAAGGTGGAAATGTTTGCCTTCTAAATACAGTAATTACTTCATGTTGATCCAGACAGAGAAAGATTCCATTTTAATTACTACTTTTAAGAGTACACTTGCCTTATCTACCTGGAAGATGAACAACTGAATCATTCTTCCAGAACCTTATTCAGGGCTAGCCCACTTGGCTGGAAATATGGGAACGCACTGTAGTTCTCCTGAATTGCTGTTCTCTACCTGGCCCCAGAATTCTATATATCTCATAGAATTGCTTTAGAGAAAGTAATTAAAAAAAGAAAAGAAACTACTAAATCTTAAGATATTTTCATCATAGTATTATTTATATTATATGCATTATTGACTTTATATCTTTTATATAATTTTATATATCTGGTGTGGCATTGTAAGATCAGTACTGGACTGTGAAACACAAGGTTGTTGACAGTTCATACTTACCAGCTGCTCCTTGGCAACCCTATCCAGGGTTGCTATGAGTTGGGACTAACTCTATGGCACTTAACAACAACAAAATAGATAGCATAGAATATGACACATAATATGTAATCATACATGAAGGGGCTTCAAAAAGTTCACGGAAAAACACCATTGTCTTTTAATTCCATTATTCCAAGAATTTTTGAAGCCCTACATATTATATATTATGATTGACATTAACCAATAGGTGTATCATTTAAATATAGAAAAAAAATCATGCAATGGAATACAGCTGCTAAAATGACGGGATATAAATATATAGATTGGCTTGGGAAAACCTTTTTTTGACATTTACAAATGTTTTGACAACATACACATATCCTACTGGAAACAAAAATAAAGAATATACCACCCATTTAATAATAACTGTGAAAAGAAACAAAAGAAGTAGAATAAAATATGCAAATCGTAGAAAAAATGACAGAAGAAAGACCAAAAACTTAAGCATGGTAATACAAATAAACTCTCATGTTAGGTAAAAATATAAAATCCATCTTTGTGCTATTTATGAGAAACACCAAAATTACAGTGACTTCTAAAAAGCTTAATGAAAAAGACCAAGAAGGGTCCATACCTCAACCCTACACAAAAACTAACTCAGAATGGAGCAAAGACCTAAACATTAAATCAAACACTATAAAGTTCATGGAAGAAAATATAGGGACAAAGACCCTAGTTTATGACACAGACTATCAAACATAATTTAAAATATACAAAACGCTAATGATAAACTAGATAAAATACTTGTGCTCATCTAAAGACTTCACCAAAAGAGTAAAAGAGATCCTACAGACTAGAAAAACTACTGGTGGCAATCATACCTCATAAAGATCTAAGCTCTATAATTTATAGAAAGCTTTAACAGTGCCACAACAAAAACATAATTCAGTTTAGAAATGGGCAAAAGACATGAATAGACACTTCACCAAAGAAAATATTCAAGCAACTACCAAACACATGAAGAGATGCTCATGGTCAACAGCAATTTGAGAGATGCAAATCAAAACTACTCTGAAATACAATCTTGTTGTTGTTGTTAAGTGCCATCGAGTCGGTTCCGACCCATAGCGACCCTGTACAGGGTTTTCGAGGGTGTAAATCTTTACGGGAGTAGAAAGCCTCATCTTTCTCCCTCAGAGCGGCTGGTAGTTTCCTCGGCAATAATGGAGCTCATCCAAAAAATGTAAAGTAACAAACAAATGCTGGTGAGGTTGTGAGAAGATTGGAACTCTTATACACTGCTGGTAGGACTATAAAATGTTACAACCACTCTGGAAAATGGTATAGCTCTTCCTTTGTTATTGTTGTTAGGTCCTAGTGAGTCTGTGACGATTCACAGTGACCCTGTGTTCAACAGAACAACACACTGCCCAGTCCTGTGCCATTTTCACAATTGTTATGTTTGAGCCCATTGTTGTGTCAGTCCATTTCATTAAGGGTCTTCGTCATTGTTGTTGCCACTGTGTCAATTCATCTCGTTAAAGGTCTTCCTCATTTTAGCTGACCCCTCCACTTTATCAAGCATGGTGTACTTCTCCAAGGACTGTTCCTTCCTGATAGCATGTCCAAAGTATGAGAGACAAAGTCTCACCACTGTCATTTCTAAGGAGCAATCCAGTCATACTTCTTCAAAGACAGATGTGTTCATTCTTTTGGTAGTCCTTGGTATATTCAGTATTCTTTGACAATACTATAATTCAAATAACATCGATTCTTTCTCTGATCTTCCTTATCATTGTAAAGCTTTCACTTGCATATGAGGCAACTGAAAATACCATAGCTTGGGTCAAGTGCACCTTAGTTTTCTAAGTGATCCTTGACTCTTGGATAGTTTAGAGTGTAGGAGATTTGCCTAATGCAATACGTCGTTTGATTTCTTCACTGTTGTTTCCATACGTGAAATGAAAATTTTGACAACTTCAGTCTTTTCTCTGTTTATCATGTTATTTATTGGTCCAGTTGTGAGGATTTTTGTTTTCTTTACATTGAGGTGCAATCCATACTGAAGGCTATATTCTTTGACCTTAATCAGTAAGTGCTTCAATTCATCTTCTATTCCAGCAAGCAAGGTTGTGTCATCTACGTAGTGCAGGTTGTTAATGAGTGTTCTAATCTTGATGCCATGTTCTTTTTCATATACTCTAGCTTCCTGGATTATTTGCTTAGCATTCAGATTTTGAGTAAGTATGGTGAAAGGCTACAACCCTGGCACACACCTTTCTTGATCTTAAACCATCCAGTATCCCCTTGTTCTATTAATATAACAGTCAATATGACTGCCTCTTGGTTGATGTACAGGTTCTTCATGAGTGCAATTAAGTGTTCTGGAATTCCCATTCTTTGAAATGGTACTCATGATTTGTTTTGATCCACACAGTCAAAAACCTTTGCATAGTCAGTAAAGCACAAGTAAACATCTTTCTGGCATTCTCTGCTTTCAGCCAAGATGCAGCTGACATCAGCAGTGATATTCTTCATTCTACATCCTCTTCTGAATCCAGCCTCAGAATTTCTGATAGCTTCATGTCAGTGTGCTGCTAAAACCATTTTTTAAATATATTCAGCAAAATTTTACTTGTATGAGATATTAATGATATTTTGTTTGACGGTTTCCACACTCCGTTGGGCCACCTTTCTTTGGAATAGGCACAAATATGATTGTGACAATTGGTTAGCTAGGTAGCTGTTTTCCAAATTTCTTTTTTTTTTTTAATGTGATCGTTTACATGGGAGAACATTAGCTTTACATTTGTCATATCCTATATTGTTTTCATTGCCATGGTTACAATCCCCTCCATGCAATCTCCAGCATTATTTCTGTCACTAAGACCATATTTTTCAACTACAGATCCTTCTTTGTTTTCAATTTTAGCATTCCAGTCAGCAGTATTTATCAACTGATTGATAAATCATCTTGATTGCATGTTTAATCGATTTCAGATGGAAGAAGTTGGTAGAATTCTTCAATTTCTTCATCACTGGCTTTAGTGGTTGGTGTGTGAATGTGAAACATAGTCATATTAACTTCCCTGTTGTTGTTGTTAAGTGCCATCGAGTTGGTTCTGACCTATAGCTACCGTGGATACGGTTTCCGAGGAGCAGCTGGTGAATTTGAACCACCCACCTTGTGGTTCAAACTGACCTTGCAGTCCAGTGCTTATCCTACAGTGCCACGTCAGGACATTAGTGAGCTGAAATGGACTGGCATTGACCATTTTGAATCAGACAATCATATGGCTTACTATGCCAGGAATTACAATTTAAAGAGGAATGGCATCATATTCAGCTTCAAGAGATACATTTCAAGATTTATCTTGAAGTACAATGCTGTCTGTGATAGGATAGTATCTATATGCCTACAGGGAAGTTCTGATGTGGTGCTGAGGATAAGCACTGGTCAACTCTGTTTGGAGGAGGCAGTTCTTCCCCAGTCGTATTTTGAGTGCCTTCTAATCTGAAGGATTCATTTCAGCAGTATATCACTCAATGTTCTGCGCTATTCATAAGATTTTTAGTGGTTAGCCGTTCAGAAGTGGTGTGCCTCTCTTCTTCCTAGTCTGTCTTAGTCTGGAAGTTCCTCTGAAACTTGTCCACCATGGATGGCCCTGCTGCATGCTGGTGGCATAGCATCTAGCATCACAGCAACTTGCAAGCCATGATAGTACAATAAACTGACAGATGAGTGTTGGGGCACTTCCATAAAAAGCTAGAATAGACATATCTTATGATTCAGAAATCCACTACTAGGCATATACCCAGAGTAATTAGAGCTGTGACACTGACAGACATATGCACACCCACATTCACGGCAACATACTTAATAATAACAAAAAGATGGAAACAACTTGAAGTATCCGTCAGTGGATGAATGGGTAAACAAACTGTGGTACATACATATAATGGAATACTAGGCAGCAATGAAAAATAATGATGAATCTATGAAACATCTCACAACATGAATTAATCTAGAGGATATCTGCTGAGTGAAATAAACCAATCACCAAAGGACAAATATTCTATGAGATCTCTATTTTTATAAAGTCAATACTAGGTTTACATACAGAGAGAAATATGCTTTGATGGTTAACAGGAATGAGAAAGGCAGGAAGGAGAATCACTTAGTAGAGTGTTGTTGTTACATGTTGTTGAGTCAGTTCTGACTCATAGCAACCCTATAGTAGATAGTTGTTGTTGTTGTTGTTGTTATGTGACGTGGAGTCGGTTCCAACTCATAGTGACCCCATACAAAGTTTCTGAGGCTGTAAATCTTTACGGGAGCAGAAAGCCTCATCGTTCTCCCACAGAACAGCTGGTAGTTTTGAACTGCTGACTATGAGGTTCGCAGCCTGATTCGTAACCACTACACTACCAGAGCTCCTTATAATAGATAGTAGATACATGTTAATACTTCTAGTGAAGGGAAAGGCACTACACAATAAGTGTGACCAAGGCAAAGACGCTAATCACTAGGGAAATTTTAACGGGTTTTAAGTTACCTCCCAGGAACAAAGGGCAAAGACCAGATTCTTTGGGTAAAGTTAATTGTACAACCCACATGCAGAATACAGAACACTACTGGCCAATCACATAAGTGTCTTTATGTATAGAAAAAAGACTGGAAATACATGTACACACCTTTAAATGTTAAGACTAGTAATGTCTTAAACACACACACACACCCAATAGCCCACTACTGTAGAGTCAGTTCTGACTCACTGTGAGACCCGAAAGGACAGTGTAAAACTGCCCCACTGTTTTCACGACTGTACGTCTTTATAGAAACAGACTGTCTTTACCAAAGTAGACTGTCACAGCTTTCTTCTGTAGAGTGGCTAATAGGTTTGAACTGTTGACCTTTTGGTTAGCTATTAAGCACTTAACCACTGCCACTTGGAATCCTTAGTAATCTCTAGATGGTGGAATTATGGGTGATTTTTGTGTTCTTTTAAGTCTTCATGTTATATATTGAACAAGTATTACTTTTTTAATAAAAA